AGTCATTGACTGTAAAGGATTTGCAACCAAGTATTAAAACTGACTGTTTAATTGATGATTATGTTAGTTTGTCCAAATACTTATGAGCCCTTAAAGTTGGGTGACTGTGTGAAGAAATGGTTGTAATTCCTACACGGTTCATACTACATTTTTGAAAAAAGCCTTAAATGAAAGCTGAGAGTCTGCACTTTAAGCAGGTATTCATTGTTTCATTTAAAACCCATTGTGGTGGTGTACAGAGCCAAAATGACGACAACTGTATCATTGTCCAAATAATTATGGACCTGACTGTAGTAGATTAGGGAAGTGTTTGGCAGTGTATTTTCAAGGGCAAATTTATTAATCCCAATACCAGTGAAAAACTTAAATGAAAAGATTATGCGACCACATGCCCGCAAAAGCATCTAATATCCTTATTGTTGTTTGTCTTATGTTTTGCACAGCATTGCCCTCTAAAAGTAAACCATCAACCTGCCCCACTCCCAGGACTCCAAAGACATCAATCAAGACACCAACCTCAACGTCACAAAAGCCCACTTGCTCCCCAAAAGTCCAGAAATCAACACCTGACCATGGATCAACACGTTTGTCCTCTTCCTCATCAGCACTTTCCCAAACCAAGATCCCTAAATCCTCCCATTCCTCTGTCTCATATTCACCTGATGTTTCTCCTTTGGCTAGCACCAGATCCCCAGTCCCAGAAGAGCATATCTCCTCTTCTCCATCCTTAACCTTCCCTCTTAGGTCTACGTTCATAGTCTCACCATCAAGTTCCACTGACTCAACCTTATTGCCTAAAGTTTACCATTCAACACCATTAGAAAAAGGCTCAGACCCATCTCTGTTATCAGAACAACTCCAATCTTCCCAGTTATGCCCAGAACCAATCTCATCACTGGAGCTTTCCCAATCGACCCCAAGCAATCTGGAGTCCCCGAGGCAATTCCAACATGACCTCTGTGACCCTCAGTCTCTCCTATCAGAGAATCGACTCCAGCCGCCTCTGTCACCTGTGTCCTCCAATCCAAGCCCACCACCAAAATCTCTGGCGCCAAGTCCACCTGTAAAAACCTCATCCAGCTTATCTCTATTTAACAAGTCCCCTCCAGATGCATATTCCAGACACGGGTCAACTCCAACTCCAGTGTTTATGTCCTCTGTCCCCATCTCTCATGACCATAAATCACATCAGGACACACAGCGTGTCCCAACACTTCCTCTACATCACTTGAATCTCATCCAGTATCCTCCCTCAGCACTGAAAATGGAGCAGGAAGAGGAGCTATCACAAGGTAAGTGAATTGTGTGTGTGCACAGATGGTGCTTAGATGGTGATAAAAGCACAAATTAGACACACAATAGTTACTTTGTGGATAATGAATGGTTGATAATGGTTGGTAAGTTCACTGGGCTTGAATATTTTTTTAATCAGTCAAAAATTCGTTGAAGATTTCTTAGAGATGAATAGGCAGGGACTCACATGAGGCTGTTGAGCAGATATTGAATGTGTTTTGAGCATGGACCAGGTCTGTTCCAATCTGGGTCAGCTGGTGTTCAGTCAGCAGACTCAACTCATAAAGGGCCCTGTCTTGCACCTGTTTAAGTAGCAAATGCGCTGCGGTATATTGTTGGCTGCTTGTGTCTCCTATTTCCCAAGTCTACCATGTAAATAGAGTGCCAGGGGTAGGCGCATCAGGCTTTTAAAGGGATTGGGTGATGACACTCTGATTGGTTGAATTTAAGTTACATCCCAAACAAACCTATGATTAATCAAAGGACTAATAGCAACCCCTTTGCCCCTTGTGCCTTACCTTGTGCCCAGATCATGTGCCATTTAACTAGCAAAGTGGTTGGACACGGCCTAAATGCACTTGCACCATGCACTTTAAACTATGTGCCATAAATTGTTTAAACAGGGCCCATAGAATGTGATATGTACAGACTCTGATCTTAAGTCTGCAGGTCTAGTCGTTCTCAAAAAGATTTTTTTAAACTAGTTTGATATTTGACTGATGATGCCACTTATGTGTGTCGCCTCAGGGGGACATACAGGGATATAAGCAGCTTTACCTGATGCTAGCTTTGTTTTACAAAGTTCACTTACCTCAAATTCTTTCAGTAGACTATACAGTTTGTGTTGCCCGCAGCTCTCTATCTAGTATCATACCCAAACCGTACATTTTACCTCCTTTTTAGCCTTCTCAGGACAAACGACCCTGCATGCAAACAGTGGGTGCCGTCCAGCTTTGTCAAAAGAACGCAGCAATTGGCTCTCTTATGGGATTTGCAAGGTCGTCTACCGCCAGAACTCCAGTCGTTACTGACCAGTCATTAAGTGTTGTATCTTGTGTATTTTCTCAGTTGTCAGGTTTACGCGTCTTCCTGACTGTCAAAGACAAAAAATATGAGCAAATTTGTATAAACAATTGTTATGTGTAGTCTGTCCAGTCCTTGTAGGTTTCTGCTAGTCAGGTTTGTCCCAAGCTTAATCTGTCTTTCATGCAGTCAGGTGTTTGTTCTTGTTATGGTTGTATCATCACCACACTTGATCCTCTCAACTGCATGACGCACCAGTAGGGCTCTGTATTTGTACTTGGTACCTTTAAGGTATGGACTGAAATGACCCAAGTAGTATTGAAATGTCTCCAGTAAAACAATACCTGCATTCAATCTTTTTTGTACCCGGATCTAGAAAAAAATGACTATTTGTATGGGTGTGTTCGCAGCCAATCCCCCAAACGTTCTTTACATTAAAGCGGCATGTGATTGACCCACTCCTGCAGCAGCTACAACCCATACAGTTTGTGATGTGGTGAAGTTGAGCATGGTATATTTGACAGAGTTGGCAGTTCAGCATGTTGAGATACCATGAAAAAACATTTGAAAGTGAATTGTTGATTACTTCAGGTAAGATAGATGGTTACTGGGCTACTTTATTCATCTTTGGTGTGTTAAAAGATAGCTTGTATTTAATTTAAATGACGATAAAAAAAATCACTTTGTTACTGGTGATTGGTGGTTATTGTAGTTTTTTAAATGATACCCAGTCCCAGGCATCACGGCTCTGTGAAAGTAGTATGTTTTGGACTTCAGCTACAGATCTCAAAGTGTGTATCTAAATGGGGACAGTGACTACAACTGCAACATCAGGTGCCATGCCTACTCCCTGTCAACAAGAGTAGAGACAAAGCTCCTCACTATTTCCATAAATAACAACACATGCGATCAGAATTCAGTCCTCCTGCATTCATGTATATGCCAATAATACAGTTCTTTGCTCAGTTGGTCCCTCCTGAGATTCAGTTCTCCATGAAAGATTCTCCTCATTATTCAAAAAGCACTTGCCAATTTACACCTCATATAATTAACAGCTCTAACTAAGATCATGTGATTTGGAAAGAACATTTCCACATATACTCAGCATTTTCTAAAACTGTCTCGTGGTGGCACAGATCTTGAAATTGTCAGAGCGAGACTCTAGGAGGCAGTCTTGAACGTGAAAACTCAAGCGACTGGATGTATTTTTAAGGTCAATCTTATTATCAAGGCCTCACATTTCTTTGTGCCTGATCACTTAAGTTCTTAACAAAAAACTGAATGTAATGCTAAAATTAAGTTCTTGATTATCCTGAAGAAGGCCACTGGTGTTTTAAGAGTGAGCACAACTTGAACCCAAAGGCATACAAGGAGCATGGTAATAGACTGAAGTGTGTTGAATTTTAAAGTTAAATTTCTTAGCTATGGAACAAGTGCTGCTAGAATTTTGACCTTCATCACTCCTGTTGTCACATATTACAAATATCTAATTTAACAGCCACCCACACTGTACTCAAAAGTTTAACAGTGACTCAGCTGTATTATAATATTTCTTCATTGTCTGTCTTGTTTTGTCTATGAGTGTTCCTTATCAGCTAGGATCCTACCATTGCTGGATTTCAGAGAGAACTGTCAACACCTAACACTCCACCAATTTCTGTTGGGAAGGGGAGTTTGATTTTCCCTAACCAGTCACTACAGACCAAAGTATCCATCTGAATCTAACTCCATTTTAAGTTCACACAAAGGCATATCCATGCCAGCATACCTGTTTTGCTGGGTTTTAAGAGTGGAGCGAAGTGAAGTAACACAAACTACGATGTCAATCGATATTGAGAATATATGTCAATTGAGAACAGCCTTGATGGCAGCATCTGTCTTGTCCATAGTACTCACCATTGTTGTTATCACTCCTCTCTGGTTTCAGCACATTCCTTGACAACAACTTGATGAAGGCGCTAAGGCTAATTTATACTCCCTTTATGTACAAAAATGGATACTTCCATTTCAAACATTAACGTCACTGCTCTCATACTTCCATGAATCCCTTATGATGGCACAGACACAGCCAATAGATGGCAGTAAAGAGCAGAGTGGAACAAAAGTTCCACACAACATCAAATGAGACGATGGAGGAGGTCGTAATATATTACCTTAAAACAGAGGCAGCATCGTAGATTTCTTTGTCGTCTCCTGTGGTCGTATCATGCTTGAACTATGCTACACTGCTTCCACAATCTCCAGTGGTACTGCTACGTTTCGTCTGTATCTGTAAGCTTCCAGAAAACATGCACAAATATGGACTAACTGAACTCAGAGTACAGTTGTTCATGTCACGTTGCCGGATGAATCAGTCAACTCGAGCTCAGTGGAGTGGGCTGATTCAAATGTCTTGACCCTAGCGACTCTTACCAGGGTGATCTCTGAAGAGGCTTTTTCCTCTTGGAGGAAGAACCTGAGCTGGAGATCTCTAATAGCACTATTTTCTGCAGAGCACAGGGAAAATAATGCATTTACAGGGCTCAAATCTAAGTACATTTTATCAGGGGTTGCTAAAGCTGACAATCAGGCACCAGTACAAAAGTGATTTCACTCCAGCCAATGTTACTAACAAAAGCCCACTGAATTAAATTCATTATTTTGTCCATTTGCAACCACTGGTAACCACTTTCAAAAGAACAAACAAAAAGAAAACAGTGTTCAGATGAAATATAAACTCCAAGTAGCCAGTTTAAATAAGTGTTAAAAACATTTTGAAGCCAGTAAACAATGTGGCTGGAGTTAGATGTACTGTAGCCAGATCTTAAAAGCAAATGTTCTATGTACCCGTCCAACTAAACATCCTTACTTTCTACTACTGCTTTCTACAGTATACCTCCATCATACATTCTATTTTTGGTTGTATCACATAAATCATTTTGACACAATTTGCATTTCAAGGCACTTTTATTTGGTGAGATTTCCAGAGACCAAACAGTATTTCTGGGGACTTAGATTTGGGTTACAAACAAACAAGAGAAATTATGATGGGGAAGCACAGGTCTTTGGAGTAAAGTGATTCCTGATAGAACACTTTGTCGTGCTACATTTTGCCTCAACACAATTCTCAAAGGCCAGGCAGTTTATATGAAGAAAATGCTTGTAGATCTCAGCAATAATGGCCTCCCTTTATTCCACTGGGCTGTCAAAGCCAATTTAGGTCAACCGTAAAAAGTGTTCTCCTCTTTTTTTTTTATATTGATTAGGGTTTTAAGTAAATACCTGACATAATGCTACAACAGACAGGGAGGTAATTACACTATAAAGAATGGCCCTAAATTCCCTTTAGTATACAGTATACACACACACACACACACACACACACACACACACATTTGGATTCACTGATGCAGATACACGCTTCTGACTCATACATGCAGGTGTACGCACACACACACACACACACACATGTATTTGTACTAGAGTACTACATACACATATGAGAGCAATTTGTTTGAAGTGTTTTTGCTGAATTGCTAAAGTACGCCGTGTGTGTGTGTGTGTGTCTGTGCACATTGGGAAGTTATGAATGTGTGTGCATAGGCCATGGTTTGCTGAGAGCAATTCTTTTTCCAGAAGCTTCTGGGAATGTTTTACTGTCTCTTTAGAATTAAAAAATTGTGCTAAAATCTGAGCTTTAAAAAGAGAACCAGGGAAACTGTAAACTGCGATGCTCAAAAATGCCCCATGCCTTCCTAGCTTTTCCTCTTCTGGCTTTTACCTCTCTTAGTCACACTTCTACCCCTCTTCCTCTCTTCATCCATCATCCCTGTGTTTTCCTTCATCCTTCTCATCCTTCTCTTCACAGCTCTTTGACTAGTTTGGCACTGAAAGCCTGCTTTATTAGCTTATTAGAGCTTGACGCGTGCGTGGTAATGTCAAGGACAAAACGTTTTAAATTTTTCACAGGATGTTAGAGATGAAAATGTTTCAGTGTTTGAAAGTCTGATGAATCAGGGACGGTCAATGTGTTCGTACTCTTCACACTGAAAGTACATTTGAGCCATATTTAGATTATACGTGTTGATAAAGGTCTTAAAAATGTCTGTATTTTTCATAAAGACAGTGGTGACGAAATGTCCATTGATAGCCTGGGTCTGGATCCACACGATGAAGACTCCTCAGACGAAGAAGCACAGATGCACGGACGTTTAACAAGAGGGAGATCCAGAGAAGAGCAAGGGAATCCTGCCACATCTCATACAGAAGATCCCTTTGTTCCAGCAGATGCAGACAGAGGAGAAGATTTGCAGACTGATAAGCAAGAACAGCTGTCAGAACCATCCATGGTAACATGTATCCATATTCCCACATGCTTTTTGCTTCTTGAAGGATGAACCTTAGGCTAGAAAGCTCTGATAGCACTATTTTATGGGGAGCACAAGACATATTTTGCATTTACGGGGCTCAAATCTAAGTACATTTTATCAGGGGGTTGCCAAAGCTGACAAGCAGGCATCAATACAAAAGCGATTTCACTTTAAACCAGTGTTACTAACAAAAGCCTGCTAAATTGAATTCATTATTTAGTCCATTTGCAACCATTGGTAACCACTTTCAAAAGGGGATGCCAAAAGAAAAAAGCACTCAGATGAAATATTAGAGAGAATGAAATCATTGTTCCCGTGTTACTTGTTCAAAGTGTACGACACCAACTCATTACTTCTGATAAGACATGTCTCACTCACAGCCGCCCTATTGAAGCCAGCATACCCCTTCCTTCTTAATGCAGAGGTGCACATAACTAATACAGGAACATTTATTGGCACGCAGTTTTTAATTGCATAAAAATGGAATGCCTTGTATAATTAAATGAGGGCTCCAGCAAACTTCTTCACTTGATAAAAGTTATAATTGATATTACAGTGGGGGAAAATATTTGATTGCTAACAAACGAATGAAAGAATTACCAAATAGGCTGTAATCATTATACACCAATATGTTAGAGTTTGTCTTTCAAGCCGGGTAATAAAATGAACAAATGGGCAAGTTTTAGGAGTTTTAGAGAACCACATCATTAGACTGGACATAATGGCTCCATAGGATGAGAAGACTTCAGCGACATACAGTTACAGTTTCTTATTGTAGCTGACCTGATCTATTAGATAACATTTGTATCACACTAATTACTTTACATTATTCATCTATAGCTCGGAGACACCCAAGGCAGTGGTGTTAAAGGTGCACACCGCTGAAGGAAGAAAAGAGAAACAGAGTGGATTAAAAAGACACTGCTTGAATGGTCCCAAATGACCTATCAGCCATTTAATGGTATGAATCCTTTATGCTATGACAGGGGAATGAAAAAAAATAAGGGGGTGGGGGGTGGGTAGTGCTTTATTAAAATGCTGGAGCAAAATGAGGTTCATGATTGTGGAGATGGTGGTTATCTGTGGCCTCTGGATCTGAATCAAACTGCTCCTAAAATGATTAGATAGTCATTTTTTTCCAGCTCTCTCTTTCTCTTTGGACCCAATCTCTTCTCCTCTCTAGTCTTACATGTATTTGCTATACTTGCTCCTCCTATCTTTCCTTCGGTCCACGTTTTTGTCCCCTTTTTTTGCCCCTCCTCCTTTTTGTTTTACCTTTACCCTTTAGTTCAGGCAGCTAGTCAACTTCTACATCCTATTTGTAGTGAAGAGACATTGGTCTGCACAAGCACAACTCCAATTTTTACAGCTACACAGTCCCATTGTGTTTGGTCTCTTGCCATTTCATTGTTATGCCTCTCTTCTCTCTTCGGCCCTGTCTTCCTCTTGTCATTCTCCATCCTTGCTCCTTCCTCATCCTTAGCAACACTATTCCCACATGCCTTGCTTCCTATTTTCTCCTGGCCCATCTGCAGTGTCTCGCGATGCTACGGCTAGCATGCTAATGCATCAGATCTAATCTCAGCGAAAACACAGCTTCCTCATTTTACCCCCGTCTCACAGGAGGACACTTGCGCGGGGAAGAAACAGCTAACCCACCACGCCGTTGTGAGATGCTCTCAGCAGCTCCAGGGGTTAATTAAAAATCAATTCATAAGTGGAAACAAAGGAAACAGGGAGTGAGGGGAATAATCTCCAGTGAAAGACACCGGCTTATTAATATGCATTCACACAGTAGAAAATGGAAAAACACAAATTTAAACACACTCACCTGTCTCAATAAAAGTTAAATTGATATTGAATTTCGGTTTGTCCTTTGAACTGATTGTGTTAGGATTGAAATGAAACTCAAGACCAAACTCTTACTTCCTTATTCCCCTGTACTCTCTTCACTCTATTCCCATGTCCCCCAATACATCCCTCCATAATCTATTTCTCTGTGTATCATCTCTCCATCTCATCCTCACATGATCTGTCTTTCTGCCTCACTCCTTCCACTTATTCCCTTTTTTTATACCACTTACCCCCTCCTTCCTTCCACCCCTCATTCTCCTGCGTCTCTCCATCTGTTTCCATATCCCCTTAGGTGATGCACAACCAGAGTGTTGGGTCTGGATCAGAGCAGTTCTGTGATCTGGATGGGTTGCCGCCTCTGGGTTTGGACATGAATTCCGGTCAGTCCGACACACCAGAGCACACACGCCGTGACCCACTGCACACATGCCAAACTTTACCCCATTGCTCAGATCCAACAGGTACGTTATCAACGTGAAGTCTTTTCTGGTGTACGTGTGTGTGTGCATGAGTTTTTATGCTCCTATTATACCACGCTTTTTGTCTTTAAACTGGCTCATGTTTTCCTATAAACTACATCAGGAAGTGCCGTTACTGTTTTTGTGCTTCAAGAGATTAGATTGTGAAGATTACCTCTGTGTCCAACTTTTGCCTGGAGATACTTTCCAATTTGCAAGCGTTATTCATATCACAAAGGCCTCATAATAGGATTTAGAACAAATATGTAAAAACGTAGAGCTTACAAGAGAGATGAAAATGAGTTTTAAACCCAGAGGAGTGCTGGCTGCTTGGTGGAAAACGAGAGATGGGGGACAACACCGATAATTTACTACTGGTGGGTCCAAGGGGAGCTTTCCTGAGATGCCTTTTTTTATTTTTTGTGTGTGTGTGTGTGCCTTTTCTTGCACATGTGTCTCAGCCTGTGTGCTTCTTTTTTTATACTTAGGGAAATAATCTCCATTTTCTCGAACTATAGGTGAACACAGTTTACCCAGAACTTGTGAAAGTCTATATTTCAACACAAAGACACGTTGACAGCCTTTTCTTCTTGTTTCTGTCTCAGCTGAAAAGACTAGATAATAATGCCTGTGTCCTTCACATTGCACCCAAAGTTTACTTTGTTTTTACCTTTGAGAAGAACGTTAAAAGGCATGTGTTGTTCTTATGCAATGCATCTGAAAACATATTGTCTAATCAGTCATTATTGCTAAAAAATACGTATGTTCCATTATTTTTCTAACACTATGTCTAACACTTTGTCTGCAATACTGAAATGAATAGAATACTGAAATGGTTTGGGGATTTCAGATTTCCTCCCTCCTCCTCATTTCTTTTAATGCCAAGTTTCACCTTGAACTACAGCAGACAAATCATGCTGTTACAAGATGTTTTTGTAAAACTTCTGACATTAACTGTGTCTGGTACACCATGCTGTTGCCACAGAAGTATCCCTTAGGTATATGATGGATTTCCTATTTGTACCCACAGCATGAGCATTAAAAATAATGTTCTTAAGTACTAATGATTTGTAAACTGGCCATGACTTTGAGGTGCTGAGACTGCCCAACCAGGCTGATGGAAGTCTCGCCTCCACCTCCAAATTGCATCAGAGTTAAAATAGTAATATTTGGATCAAATCAGATGCTGTAATTTATCGTGGTGCTCTTTACACCTTGCTCTCTTGTCCAAGGCTTTTGAATTGCATGCATTTCAAACAGCAGCTGTACTTCTATGATTCAGTAAGGATTTCTAATTCATACTTTACTTGCGTAAGTAAATTGCCGCGGCGCAAAATGATCCCATCAACCTTTTCTTTCATCAAGTCTTGAAGCCCTGCATTTCACTGTTTCATTGTCAAGTCTGTGTTAAATGAATGAGGTTGACAGTGAGAGACTCCCACAAGGGCAACACTACCCTCCTCGCACCATGCAGCACAGCCGCTCATCAAACCCCGCACTGTCTCTGCCACCATCGTTAAAGCTCCAAAGTTAATGAGAGAGAAAGGTTAGAGAGGAGGAATATCACCTTGACAACGCTCCGCACTCATTTATGTCCCTCCATCCCTCCATCTGTCTCCTCTATTTTACTCTTTTCTTTTTTTTCCCAGACAGGGCTGGGATCCAACAGGTTTTATATGTCTCCTGCTCTACCTTTCCACCTCTCTCTCCTTTCTGCTCTTACTCCCTGTCACCTGGTCAGTCAGAAAATGAGGTTGTTAGTGTGCAGTTTCTGTCTCGTGTGCATCCAAAGAGACAGACAGATAGACAGACAGGTAGGACAATGGCCAAACCTTTACAGAGAGAGAAGCAATAGATGCAGCTGTATAGTATAGTAGTATAGTATATAGTATGATGTACTGAAAAGGAGACAAACAGGTAGACAGACAAACAGCAAGGAAATCAAAGACCAGCAGACAGATGCATGAAATACAGACAGAATTCTGGTGGTATCTTTGTATGCATTTCTGAGTCATTTTTCCATTTCAACCCGCTCCATTTTCTTTTTGTGAGTTTCGAAGCTATCTGACTTCTCTGCTCCCTTTTCCACTTTTCATTTGCAGCTGATTTAGACTAGTTAGTGGATTCTCCATCCAGTCAATAGTATTAATTGATTGGGTAACCACTGGAGAGAAAGAAGAAAACAGCAGTAATTGCATTGCAGCTGTCAGGATTGGCTGAACAGGCTTGTTAAGCAATATTGGTTTGGTGCAGATGCTGCTGCTGAATAGACAAATGGATTAATGTATCACATGTCATTTGCTTAATTTGCTTGAATCTATTTATATATTTATTAGTATCAATAGGCTAATCAGCATGCTCTCAAAGGAATATGTGAATGGACCATTAACTTTTAACACTGCAATACATGGTGGCAGCATGTAATGTGTTAAAGTGACATGCCAGCACCACAACAGTGCCAGTGGAAAGTCAGTTGGGATCCTTGTCGTGGTAGACACATGAAATCCGTGGTTCAACAACATCATGTAGTGAGTGATAGTTAATGTTGCAACCATAGACTGTATAAATAATAGATGTAGCTACAGTGATGTCACTCATTGGTTTGTGGACTGAAATTTTAAAGCTCAAGTTTGGCATTTCAGCTGTCGCCATCTTGGTTTATTGGAGTGAGAGGTGACCATATTTGGACGAGGGGGTTGAGCTGTGGAGGGGTGATGGGTAGATTTGACCGAGAAGCCGAGGACACTATCAGCAGACAGCCTCACTCAAGCTTCCCCGCCCTTAAATATGTGTAACTTTAGGCCTCTATATATAACAGATGATTTATAACAAAATTCAGCCCCTGTACAGTTGACATGAATGTTAAAATTAGCTATAGAGAGCAAACATGTTTTTGTACCAGGCTGCGAACATGTTTATTTCTGCTGTGAAGTTGGGCATTTTAACATGGGGGTCTATGTGGCTGACTCTATTTTGGACCCGCTAGGGCCACTCTATGAAGTGCAGTTTTTGGCACTTCCTTATTGGGTTCTTTTCAGCATCGGAGGTTGCCGCTTGGTTAGAACTCCATAGGTAGAAGGAAAACTGCTAAATTTGTGTATGGAGAATTTCAGGGAGGTGGATGGGTCAAACAAACACAGGGCTTTCACCAAGGAGACCACTTGTCATGTCCCATGTGAGACTAAAGTCAACAATGTCTTATTTTCACTATATGTACTTACGTACTTTATGTTCTTATGCCACTTAATTTTTATTTTTTTATATACTTTATTAATCCCCCTGAGGGGAAATTCATTTTTTTCACTCTTTTGTCATTAACACACATGCACACATGCACAAACAGGACCAATACATGCACAAAGTGGAGAGATGTCAGAGTGAGGGGGGTTGCCTTGGTCAGACCCCGAGCAGTTGGGGGGTTCGGTGCCTTGCTCAAGGGCACCTTGGCAGTGCCCAGGAGGTGAACGGGCACCTCTCCAGCCACCAGTCCACAGGGACTTGAGCAGGCGACCCTCCGGTTCCCAACCCAAGTCCCTATCGACAGTGTTGCCAGATCTCGCGAGACAAATAAGCAACCAGGCCTGTGAAAACGAGCCCAAAACAAGCGACTTTTTCTACAGAGCCCCACCTAGGTTCCAGTGAGAGAAAATTAAATTATGTGCACGGTTTTACAGTCCGTGGGGACGGATTTTAAACTGTGGGTACAGATCTTATTTTATACAGTCTATGGTACAGATTGCCAATTTACAACCATGTGGACAGATTAGTAAACTGTGCGCAGTTTTGCAAAACTGTACCCACGGTACACAGTTTATTTATTTTTCTCCCCCCTGAGCTTCAGGACAATGACCACAAGAGGGAGTTAAACCACCTTTTAACATTATTTATCATTAGAAAACAGATGGGATATCAAATATAGACTGATGTACCAAGTACATTATATACACAGTAAACCTCTGATAATTAAAATTTGCACACACAAATAAATATCATCCTGAATTCACAAATTCTTTATTTATTATTGCTTTTTATGCACTCATCTAACTTTTTCTTTTAGTTACAGGACTGACGTTTTCCTAACCAGAAAAAAAACACATTACCCTGTTCTGCCTCTGATTGGCTAGTACTCATTGCCATCAGAGTCAGAGCCAATTAGAAGCAGGATGCGGGTGGGAAAAAACTCTGCTGTATCCTGTGTGTATGGGGAAAGGGGAGGGACAGAGGGAACAGGCAAGACAAACTATCTTACGTTTAAGTAACATATCGAAAATATCTGCTTGACAACTTATTATGGAGCTGGGAACAAGCCCAAATAAGCAACTACGCTTTAGAGATAAGCCCAAAAAAAAACACGACCCGCGACTACCAATATTTGTAAGCGACTTTACAAAAAAACAAGCCCAAAATCGCTTATAATAAGCAGACTTGGCAACACAGCCTATGGACTTAGCTACTGCGGCCCGTGGCGTTACTTAACGTACTTGACGTCAGGTTTCAATATACTTACCAAATGTCCATAAACAAACGTACTTATTTTAAAGACTCGTTATTTTTGCACATATTTGGCACTGTATCTACAATTTTTGTAGACACAGTGTGTGCTACATACCGTCTGGCACTTGTTCGCTACCTTTTCATAAAGTCCCCAACTCATCTGTGCACTGGAACGTACCCAACACAACAAAATAAGACGAAAATATAGGTAGAGGGCAGGTTCTCGGCAGATTAATACACCGCCACACACTCCTAGTTGTTCATAAGTGATGATTAAGAGGGATTGTTTTTGTAAAAGTCTATACTTTGTTTTTGTTTTTTTAGGAAAACCCTGCGTAGTTTACCGTGAATCCAAAACCTAAATCTTTTCCTTAACCTAACCAAGTAGTTTTGATGCCACAACATAACAAAACTGCAACTGTTTCACATTGTTAAAAAATATTTTTATTTAGTTATGCTGTGTTAAGAGGTTGTGACTTCACATATTTCTGTGAGATCAGGTTGGGCTCACAGATTCTGTGTAAACTGAGATCCTCTCACAACAACGTCTTTTTATTGCTCCTACTTTAGCTTGAATGAGTATGTTGTGATTTTGCTTCTGTGTTTAGGATTTGAAGACTTTTGTTTGTTAGCGGTAGACTTCAAAGAGAGACTGACTAACAGCAGTGCACAGTGTCGGAGTGAAATGACTGATTACAATAATTTGTAACCATAATGCCAGTTTTACTTTTTAAATTAATGAACAACGACAGTGAGAAACCATATTTTATAACTCACACAGCAGCTTTATATTCTGTGTATCACAGGTGCACTGTCATTCCCAAAAAGTTATTACATGCATTGGATCTATACAAACTCACACTCTGTTGGAGATAGATAGCAATGTTATTTCCATTTACTTGCCATAAGTCAAAACTGATAGGAGCGTGACTTTGCATGATCTGTGTCTTCAGGTTTCATTTATCTTGTATTCGGATATTCCAAGTGTTTTTAAGAGCATGTAAAAGGCAATATATAGAATGTGAATGTAGATAGAGCGATGGGATGCTTTTAAAACCAGGTCAGGAGAGAGTCTCCTGTGTATGATACTTTTAAAAGGAATTTTATATTTCTAGACATTTATTTAGACCGTTCTTTGTGGGTTATTTTTTCTCAACTCAAATTTGTTGTGCCCTCTTTCAGTTTTTCTCTCATTTTTTTTAGGGTCAGAGGCTTTTGGGCGAAGCAGAAGCCGCGGTACCTACGCTGAGGAACACCTGGTTTTTAGAATGATGAAGGACAACCACATGCAGCCAAGTGGAATTCAAATTCACTCAACCAGACCCACCAGGAGAGGAGAAATATCAGCAAATGAACTGGGAACATCTGGTAGGTGTATGCGTGTGTGTGCCGTCTGTGTGAACACTATTCAGGCTCGCTGAGCTCTGCTTCTCACTTATTAACTCTCACACACACCAAACTCCATTTCATACACAATTAATATACCTCAGTTCGGCATATAGCCACACTGTCTTGGCACCGGAGGTTTCTGAAAGAGATTATACTGTATCACTCTCAAACACAAACACGAGCATACTGTACACACACACACACACACACACACACACGCACACATGCGGGATTGGGAGTCGGTCCAGGAATGTGTCCTCTCATCACTTGTCTTGCTCAGATCCCAGAAACACTGCAGTAATCTGTTTATGATGATACACACACACAAACTTAGACACCTGAGAGACAAGACGATAATCTGTTTTACTCAGTGATGTATCTAACGCTGCTCATCAGTTCTCAGGATCCCCTTCCTGTGAGCCTGTGCCCCACGAATAATGCATTCATAACAAAACGTTATGTGATTAACATAAAGTTATGGAGGTTAGGTTTCAGCAAGTAAAGTTACAATGGTTAGGTTTAGGTGTGAACGCTCATTTGAACTCTGGTGCGAACCAAACGAGCGAGCCCTGGTCCGATTGAAAACTGGGGTCTAGGTTCACCTGCAAGTGAACCCTGGTGCAGTTTGCTTACAGTGGGAAAAGCAAATGGACTATCCAGTGAACCAAATAGAGGAAGTGAACCCAATAGAGGAAGTGACATAGAGTGCAGTGCATTTTGGGTAGAAAAAGACAAAGACAACAGCGCAAACCAGGAGAAGCAGTTTTACGCAGATTTAACCGGTCAGCAGATCAGTGTCGCATCAAGGTAAAAAAAAAAACTGCAACAGCAATATATTAAGGTCCGTGACTGAAGGGGATTTTTTTTCCGTTTTCGGTCCTGGCCAATTAATGAGCAGGGTTTTCTTCTTCCTCATGCGATTTTTTCTTCCTGGTCAGTGGATGTTTCGGGCAATACCGCCCCCAAATGAGCAGCTGTTATGACTGTGTGATGTTGTCCAGGCGGTTTGGTCCGCTTTAAAGAGTGCAGTGTGAAAGTGAACCAAACAAAATGAAGGTGTGAAATTTTTTGGCGTTCCCCACCCAACTGAACTGAGTCCCCTGAACTATCCTGGTGTGAATGCGCCCTAGTCTGTTAGTAGATAAGCAACCTAGGTGCTCGACAGTTACTCCAACATTATTGTCCAACTTCAGGCTCAGCAAGCATACTTTGAGGCACACTGGGAAATTGACATTGAAAAACTCTCATAAGGGACAGTCCCAGAGCAGGTGGAATTAAAAACCTGGGTTGCTACAATTATGCCAGCCTTAATATTAATGTTTGTCATCCATCTTGGATAATCTAACAGGAGTTATATATGCTCTGCACAGAATCTTATATTGTATAATCCTAAATCTCACACATTTAGAGGATCTCAAAGCCGACTTCCAAATTATGTTCCACTTGGAAGCAGTCAGAGATGTATTTAGGTTATGCTCCCAAGTCAACGGGACATAGAAATATGTATTCGGGACAGCTATAGACATGAAATTAAAGATAGTCGAGACCATTCCTCTTGCCAGGGTTACCTTCTCTAAAGGCTGATTCCACTCTGGACATGAGGCAGGAACCCCTCCCTCTTCGCACGGGTCACGTGATCAAAGCCTTCCAAAATACACGGGTTATGCACAAATTATCGACTCATTACATGGGAGGTGAACGAATTTTGGTGCGAACTGCATCCACTGTGTTTTAAATACAATATCTCATTCAACCACTCTGTTCTTTCTATACTTTCACACCGTTTAACCCTGCTGTCTCTTGCCCATTCTTCCCTGCCATGCCCTCAAACTTTTTTTGCATTTACGGAAGTCTTTGTTTTTTTGTTTTATTCCTCTCTTTCACTTTATTCATTTACACTTTCACATCTAAAGCAAATAGTTTAAAGCACCGAGGCCCACATTGTGCTCAGTAGGTGTAGTTAAAGTTGAACACTTTGAAAGGAGGTCCACACTTGTAAAAACCTCTCAGGAGCTCAAAGCCTTTTCAACACAGTTGATTACAGCATCAGAAGGACTCCTGGGTGCTCAGCATTTTTTCAGTATTTTTAATTCCACGAGGGAGCCTTAGCACAGGCGTTTCGGCAAGTTGCCTCACTCAGCGTGCCTCATTGTGCTGTTTTGTCAATGTGCCGCTCCAGTGTGCTGTCTGATGGCACACTGAAGAGGGCTTCACGCCGAAACATCTGTGCTTTGGCTCCCATGTGCCATTAATGAATGTCTTGAAATAGCTCTGTGTTCCTGAGCATCTTTGCGAGTAGGGAACTCCTTTTTGAGTTCACAGCAAAGTGTTTACCTTTTATTTCTTTACTTTATCCAGACCCCAGTTGTACCTAGAATCTGACCCTCCTAAGGAACTTTTAATAGTGGTAATTTAGAGACATCAGATTTTAATCTCACTCCCATTTTACACTGAATACATTTTGAATCTGGCACCAACCTTTATCAGTAACTGACACCTAGATCTATGTCCCCTCTGCTTTGGAATTGAAGTAAATTGAGTCTACGGGTGTGTGTATGTGTGAGTGCACACGTGTAAGCAGCACTGTACTGCATGCATCATTCCTCCCTTGCCGCTTAGTTTGACAGTGCAGGTGGTTGTGAAACACTAAGTGGAGGTTCTGTGCCAGTTGAAAGACAGAGACAGGCACTGAGAGAGGGAGGAGGGGAGGAGAGAAGGGAGGGAGAAGTAAGGAGACAATGGAAGATTGAAAGACTTAACACTGGAGCTGAAACTGGTTAGACAGCACGCAGCATGAGGAATCAGTGTGCCGCACACACGCAAACACACACACACATGCACACCCACACCATCATAGCCGCTCAATGGGGGCCTCGATGTAATTTACAGTGAGCAGGTGGGGATGGATGTTCAATCTGATTCAATTTGATGTGGCTCGCAGTGGAGTGGGATGAGACACCACTCATTCCACTGACTGTTGTGATAGTTTCTCTGTCTCTCACCCTCTTTCCCTGTATCCTCAGCTGCATAACCCTCCCCTGTCTTCCTCTACATCTCCTGTTATCTTTCTCATGCACTCACACTTTCTGTAGCTGTTTTTGTAAGATACCCGTACTGTATATCACTGCATTCGTCCATCTGTCCTCCTGTGCATTAAAACATTCATCCTTTCTTTCATTTTCAGGGTCTGACCTGTCTGGCAAGTCCACACCAACTGTCTCTCACCCAAGTCTTCTCTCTGCACCCGTCTCTCCCTCCCTTTCCCGTTCCTCCTCTCTTCCATTCTCTGCATCCCGTCCCACGTCGGGCTCAGGATCGGGTCCAGCGTTCCGTCCGTTGTCCCGTGCAGCCCTGGAGATAATGGAGATCTGCGGTGTGGACCAGACAGGCTGCGAGGACCCTGACCTGGACACTGACACGACTGCACACGCACTCCACAGTCTGGAGCAGGAACTCAGACTTATGGCAAAGGGTAAAGCATTCACAAGTCACAGATATAAACACAGCATCATGGTATAGCCAGTGTGATCAACATTTTACTCTGTATTTGATGTTTTATAATGATAATAATAATGAAACAAGGGTGTATTGATGTTAAACATAACAGTGTTTTAAGAATTAAAGGATACAGTTTTTTTTTTTTAATTAATTAAAGCCATAAGCATTAACCTTCCTCGTTTTCTACCCCAGAAACAGCATTGCAGGCTTCAGTATTTGCTTTGGAAAACAGCAGATGTCAAGATCAGCATGGAAATCATTATTTCACATGGTGCGTAACATGCACACACAAACTAAACCCGCTCCTGCTTATTAATTGTGGTTGCTCAAAGCACACACAATGTGAATAACCCAGTCCCCAAGGGTAAACTCAAATCCAGGAGCTCTTTTTTTGTGTTGGCAAACGGCGAAATGGTGTTTCCCTGAGGCGAGTTTGCCAGTTTGGTGTCCCAAATTTTATAGTGGTGTTCCCAGAAACAAAAAGAGCTATTTTTAAAATCTCTCTTTATTTGCAGATCATTACCAGGGTCATGTTTATGTAGCTAACTAATCTAACTAAATTAGCACAGTACTGCTGGGTTCACGGAGAAAAGCGACTCATATGTTATTGTTACCAGACCTAAAGGAAAGTTAATATATCAAGTTCTACCTTCTCGAACCTAAAAGTACCGTCTGAAGCTGTTAGGTAGCTGTTAAAATTTCCATTCCAATTTGATATCCTGAAAAGCAAATGTGCTTTTTCCCCTGCCCTTGTCTGTCTCTGTTCCTGCTCTTGTCTGTGTCTTTTCACCATGATCGGCATGTAATCCATTGCTCCCTCTCCCTCTGCACTCCTCCAATATTCCAATGGTCACGATGGGGGGTAATCCCTCTTTTTTTTGTGCTCTGTCAATCCCTCTCTCTGTCGGATATATGGAGTGTGTAATGGATCGTTAGCCAGCAGAACGACTTTAGCTTTGACAGCATGTTGGGTATCGGGCCTTAATGTGCTGCTTAATGTGTGTGTATGTGTGCGAGACAGAGAGTGTTGATGCATTTTTCTTGTAGTTCCGAGTGTGTGGGGGTGTGTGTGTCTGTGCGTTGTTGATGTTTTGTGTGTGTGTCAGTGTGTGTGTGTGTGTGTGTGTAGTGGGCATAATCTGCGCTAGAGGCCTTGTGCTGAGCAGAGCACTGTGAATATCACATTGAGACGTGTAATAACCGGATTAACACATACTGCACAGAGGGCTTCCAAAACAGCTCCGTACATCCTTCAAACATGCACACGCACACGCACATGCACACGCACGCACACACACACACACACACACACACACACACACACGCAGTCATGCAAACATGTATATGCTGATGCACTTAATCTGACTAGTTTGGCACAGCTGAATAGGTATCTTTTTCTCTTTTTTGTTCCACCTTCACCTTCGTCATTACTGTCTCATTTTCTCCCATCATGCAGTTTTTGGTCAATGTGACAATATTCAGTTCCTAAAATATTAAAAACCTAGAGTTCTTGATGTAAGAGGAACTTACCATGCAATAGGGTTGTCACGATACTAAAATTTCAAACTCGATATCGATACCCAGGAAAATATTCAATACTCGACACCATTTTCAATACAGCAGCAAAAAATTAAGAGGCATGTCATTTTTTAAAAAAAGATCAGAACAGTAACATCAATGATAAATAAATAAATAAATAAAGAACAACCAGAAACAAGATCTGTCCATACAAATGTATTTATCTACAGCCCTGTTAACTTTCTGTGCTTCTGGTGAATTGGCACCATATTTTCGTTGCTGATCAAATAAAGTTGGTAGTTTAGGCTTAGGATGCTCCTGTTTCTACCTCAATATGTGATCAGAGAACCCATTGCGCGCACCCGTCGCGCTGAGGTGGCGTGCACTGTTAGTATCGATACTTTTGTAAATTAGCATTGTATCCGGATACAGCGTTTGAGTATCGATTCTTTTCAGAGTATCGATACTTTTGACAGCCCTACCATGCAATGAATTGTATCACAACTTCACCATTATTTGCAGTTCTCATCATAATAGGGAAATATAAATTTACATTTGTAATGGATCCACTTTTCTCTACCATACAGCAAATGTTTCGCTATCTCAGGTGAAACCAAAAGCAAAACTTGTATGTACGGAACTTTTATGTACTTTAAAGGTATACCATGCAGGATTGTCAGTTACTATTTGTAAACATGCTTGTCAGAGAGAGTGAAAGTAAGGGACCAGATCAAATGCCTTGTGCGAGAAAGCTGCTCTTGATTGGTCAGAATTTCCATGCAGGAAAAATCCAGGAAGTAAACAAAACGTTGAAGAAGAGTACACTTGCAAGATAAATGTGACACTTTCTAATGTCACAATGGAGGGACAACTACGCAGGTTGATTTTAGCGCTGCTCATCGTGGACTATATTACTGTCATTGTTCATTTTAGTCAAACCATACAGTTTGAAAACGAGGCGTGGCTCCAACTAGAAAACAATGTTTTGATGCATTGGATGTGCTGAATGTGCATATTAAGGCAGTACAGGAGGAGGTGCACATTAATAATCCTCCAGGACTGTAACATGCTCATGTTTAACCCAAACAATGTGTCATGTGACTGCAGTTGGTTCGGATCCAGGTCGGAACACATTCTCACCACAAACAAACCAGAGATCGTTTGGAGCCGGACTGAGACCACCTCTTCAAGAAGGTCTCCTGCCACCTGCCCAAACAAACAACACTTAGGGGGCAAAAAAACTTGAGTTCGATTGAATTAAACCAAACAGGACAGGTTGGAAAGCACCCTAAAAGCCAACCCCAGTTTCACTCTCATTTGGCATTTCACCTTGTATTTGCTTTTTTGGCACTGTGTCTCACTTACAGTCTGGCACCTGGTCACTACCATTTTACTAAGCCCTGACCTCACCTAAGTGCTGTGGGGGTATATGCCTATAAATGTCCCAAACACAGTAAATAAGAAGAAAATAGGAAAATACAGACAGAGGGCAGAGTCTCTGCAGAAAAACACACTGCCACACGTTTCTAACAGGTCATAAGTGATGATTGAGAGGGACTACTTCTTTGTAAGTCCATGCATTGTTTTTTAGGAAAATCCTGCTCAGTATATTTTTAATTCTTTCCACTTTTCCTCTCTGAATGTTCTTTGTACAGTCAGATTTCAAAAGGTATATCTCAAAAACTGCCCCTTGTAATGTAGGTTTATGGTAGCATCCTCATGGGATGCTTCAATTGAATCCTCCTCTCAGCCACCAAGTGCCAACAGATGCTGAGTGGTAGCTGCAGGTGCATCGCAGAGTAGATTAATGATAATAATGCACGATAATGGAGTTCTACTGTTGGTTGGTCCCTGCTGCCCACCATCATATAAAATAAGAGTGTTATCAGGAAAACTTGAGTGACTTCATAAGTTAGTCTGGTATTCAACCTATAAAATATACATTTATTTTGGGGACTAATCCAGTAATAGAGTACTCTCAAGTACAACCCACTCAAAACACAAGTGACTGCTGTGCGACAGTACGTTAGGTGCAGCATGTGTGCGTCAATCGATGTGTGTGTCAGCTGTGACCTAACCTATGTTTACCTCATATCCAGACGACGATTCATGAGCTATCTCTGACTCAACTGCTTCCAGCTGTCTGGTTGTGCTTTAGTGTTGCCTCAGTCCTCTGGCTGTCTTTGAACTAACCTTCAGTCAGTGTGTACTTGCACAGCGGTATCACATTAATATGTAGAAAATGGGTGTATTCTGATTCTACAGTTTACACAGTGCAGTACCTACAGTGTGTCAACCTAACATGAGGCTTCAGCTGGTGGTTTCATCAGCTGAGCTGTGTTTGCTTCCTTGATAGTGTAATACTCTGAATGTAATTTAAATACATGTGTGTATTGACATTTAGCAAGTAAAGGAGACCTTAAAAGGCAAAGTCAGTTATTGAGTTTATCAAAGAATCAGCTGTCATCAAGCTTGGAAAACAAAAGCAAAGTAGAATGCAGTGATGCTTCAAAAGAGATACTGATACTTAAAGGATCAGTGTGTAGGATTTAGTGGCATCTAGTAGTGAGGATTTCAGATTGGAAACAACTGAAACTTCTCCAATGTGCCAAGTGTGAACTTCCAGTTAGGATCCCTTCAGTTTACTGGGAGCCGAATTATCCACAGAGGTTCCCTCCTCTCCAAAACAAACAAACCGAGTGATTAAAACTGGTATAAACACTGACTACAGCAGTTTCATGTTACAAATCAGTGTTTCTCAGATGCTGTTTGGCTTGTTGCAGACGGGCTGCTAGCCCAGTGCCTGCTAATGTGCGTTCGTCTTTTTTCTCTGCTAACTTAAGATCTAAACATACAGGAAGTTAACCAGTAAAACTATTGAAAAAAAAATGATGCTGTTTGTTGCGGAGGGGCTGCTAACTACGGTGGCTGCCGCAAAAACACAAAGGTAACAAAAACGCAATGATTCTTAGTGTCAGGTGATTGCACACTACAGAAATTTCATAATTATATACTCAATTTCTGCCAATACATCCCCTTAAATCCTACACAATGAAACTTTAAAGTAATAAAACACCCACAATTTTAATACAGCAACATTTTAAATCTTTCGTGTGTCCAGTTCACAGCAAAGATTTACGGCGACACGAGTTGAAACAGGCAGCTACTTGTAATGCGCTGTTGAGACGGTGTATCATCTCTATGCAACAACTCTCTGTACTTCCGCTCTGTTTGCAGCTTTTCAGGCTAATTTTGTGGCTGAATATGATTTGTAGCTTATTAAAATATGAATGAGGATAGTGATAGTGAGATACTGGCTACAGTTGCTTTAGTAGTAGTGATGAGATGGTGAAAAACAGAAACAAAATGAGCAACAGATGGTCTTTATTCATATACATAAACAGCAAGCAGCAGCAGCAGCAACCCAATGTCCAACACCTGGACACTGGGCTGGGCTCAGCGGGGACAGAGCACCAAGCGAACTTGTGGCCTCAATCATTTTGACTTGACCAGCAGACTTCACTACAAGCTGATTGGCTGTAGAAACAGGTGACCTGCCTTACGTTCTAAAAGCAGCTGCCAGCAATTTGACCGACTGAGTCACAGGTGACACAATCTTTTCTCTGCAACGTTCTTAAACGGTTTCGTCTCGTCTCGAATCTTCGGTCTGAACTGGGCTTTAGAGAACCTGTTTTGAAAACTGTCTTATAAATTAAGTGTATGAGTCATTTATAAAAAACGAGTGAAAATAATTGGACGCTTGATAAAAGTAAAAGACAAAAGAAAATGCCACAGCATCTGTTGGAGGATCACTTGAGGCTGAGTTGACACCACCCTCTTCTGACACCAGTGTCAGATCAGGTGGGCGGTGTGGATGGCATTGATATGCTTGCTGTCTTTATAGACTCCAAAGTTAGTTTGGCCTTTTCATAGTCAGATGCAAACTGGGAGAGGCATCTCCTAAATGTCTTAATAAAACAATGTGCAGGCTCCATTGGTGCAGTTAATTGAACCTCCTGTATGTGAGTGCTTTAGAATGGTCAGTGCCCTCTTATTAACAACATTTGAACGTTTGTCTTCCTGTTTTTTAGAGGTAAATAAATTTCACACAAAAAACAAAGCATTGGGCAACTTGGATTTTTAGGTGACTTCTATACTGGATTCAGTTTGTTGTCAAAACACAACCCAGGTGATGACCGATGCGAACCACACACAAACTGCACTTTCATTTCGTGTGTCCATCTGAATATATCACAAATGTCCCTGGAGCAAAAAGCTATGATGTCTGCATCTGAAACTAGTTCCCAAAAGGCTCGGTACATCTGTCCTTTAATCATAGGCAGGTATTTGAGTGCTGTGTGTGTACATTCTGCCTTTGATTGGTGGATTTGGTCTTGCAGGGGCAGAGCCAGCGAGGAACAAAAGGATGAGGAGGCGGCTGCACAGAGAGACCGGCAGAGTGTCCTCTCACTACCCTGAGATATTCACACACATGCACATAAAAACACACACACACACACACACACACACACACACACACACTTGCTTGTTAAATAAGGGAAAAAAGGACATGCACAAGAGATATAAGAGACTGAAGTGAGTGAAAACAAAATGGATGTAATTTAAATTGTGTTCACGTGGTGCAGATGCTACTTATACTAAATCTGCACAGAACTCTTGTTGTGAAAATATAAATTAAATGCTGTTTTGATTTGAGGTGTGTTTTGTGTCTCTTTGTGTGTGTCCACGTTCAACTTGAGCTACATGCTCGTGGATGGATTAGCTGAAGGTATAAAGCACCTGATAAGAAAAGCAAAGGATGCAGGAGGACAGGACAGGAGGGGAGTTGATGGGAGGATAAACATTGAGTTACGTTTAAGACTAATCAGGAGTCTGCTCGCATCTCTTTGACTGTGTGTTTGTCAGCGTGCGTGTGTGTATGTGTGTGTTAAATGACGAGACGTTGAGGGACCGTTTGCTGCGGGGCCAATTTTACCTACAGGGATTAAAACACGCTACATTTTTCTCCGTTGTTTGTGCCTTAATAAGGTTAGGGTGGCATTGGATCAGGTCAGACTGTCTCCACACACACACACACACATAGTCTCACACACACTGAAGACGCGGCTGCAGGTGATAAATTATGTTTGTAAGGGAGGGAATAAGGAACGGTGCCAATGGCTGCTGTTGCCATCTGTCTGTATGTGTGTGCAGGAGTTGGGGGAAGATAAACACCAGGCACTGGAACTGGTTTGTCGTCTCTGTGGTGGATGTGTACATGTTGGTGTCTGTGTGTGTGTTATTACCTCACTTCTGCTGTTTTGCATTACTCCCCACATCCAGTCCTAATCTATCATGGCTGCCACTATCCTCAGCTGAGTTCACAACCCACCATCCACTGCTTTATCTCTAGCCTGATGTGCATTTGAGGATCAAACAAGGACAAACCAGTAGACAAGGGAGAAAATCAGGCTTTTGTTACTCAACTAAACGCACAGGAGCTCTGAGGTAGGATGTCAAAGGTGCGGACTGTGTGATTGAATTTAAGATTAAGGTTCATTTGTGCTCTGCATGTGGTTACGTGTGCGAATATGAGCGCGAGTGCATGCAGGCCTGCTCTTTGCCTCAGTCACTGCGAGGGGATATAGGGGTATTTTATTTGTCCAGACGTTAATCGCTAGAAGCGGACAGCAAAAGCCCTGTAATCCAACAGCAATCACCACAAGACTGATTGATGGCGCGGCGACAAAGAGAGAAAGACTGAGAGATAGACAAGGAGGGAGAGAGGTGAAAAGGTAGATCTTTGTTATTGTGTCCTTCACTGAGTTTATCACTTACTGTTTAGGAGAGGAAAATAACAGAGACATAAATCTGATGGATATCGAACCGCTAGGCTGGTTTTAAACAACTCTGAGATCTGTGCACTCTCTCTCTCTCTCTCCATCTCGGTCTTTCTCCCTCTCTCTCACACACACACACACACACACACACACACACACGTACGTACACATGCATACAAACAGGGAAGGAGGACGGAAAAAGAGGGCTGACCTTTGTTAGATTTGGAGTTGTCTGTGATGTTGTTGATGCTGTCAGAAAGACAGTGAAACTGGAGGAGTTGACATTTAACTGCAGTATATTAACTGACCCCTCTCCGGAACCGGAGTTCAGACTGGGTGCGTTAGACAGAAAAATATCCTGTGTTATGAAACCAACTTGTTTTTTAAGAGCGGGCAGGGGGGGCTGGGCAATTTTGGAAACTTTCTCTTACATTATACACTGAGAGAAATCATGTAGCTTTTCTCATTTTTAAACCCAACACAGTGGACATTTGTGGTAAATCTAATAGGAGAACGCAGCTCCCTTTAGACTCGCTGTGATTCTTACCATATTTGTTATTTTGGTTCGCATTGGTTTTGGCATTTTCTCTGACAGCGAGTTGCACAGTGGAAACATTTTGTTCTGCCTCTGGCTGCATGTCCACTTGTTTTCTGATGAAAACCCATTCAAGTTTCCTCACCCAGAAAGCCCTCAAAGGACTCGCTTGTTCACAGAGTCTCACAAGTCACCTACAGTGAGCTGCGAGGGACAGCAGCTGCATCCATGTGTGACAATTTGAGTCTACAAATAAAGTGTGAAATGGGTAAAATGGAGGAAAGGGCACCCCTAATGCAGAAAGGGGTAGCTTTACCTACTTCTTCTGAGCCTTTTCATGAACACTCGAGGGAATGCTCTGTTAATATTTTCTGTCTTTCAAGTCTTTTGTCCTTTATAAAGTGTGTCATGTTTTCTGTAGGCACCACATTACCAACAAATTATGCATATTTACTACTAAATGCTTTGGAGGACACAGAATTGCTGTGGGAGGAGGTATGAGTAATGTTTCTGACCTCGTCACATATCAACGTTTGGTCATGGACCTTCCATGTCTAGATACGACGTGCAAGGAACCCTGGGTGAATTGGTTGTTGATGTTTTGGGACGCCGTGTCAAGTTCTGCCTGTTATATGCATTGTCTTCTTTCAAAATACACTTCTGTTTTCACAGGAAATTTACCGTTTACATACAGCCTCTTTCAAAATAAAAGCACTACATAAGTACAAAAACGTGAATTGATGTCTTTTTCCTCCAGCTACTAACGCACATGGTTGGGTGTAGAAAAAAAGAACAGGGTTTGGCTTTATAATCTTACAGGACGTGAACACTGCTCTCCTGGGTGAGAGTCAGTGTTTGTTGGACCCATTCACCACAGCTCCTGCCCGCCCTACACGGACTTTTACTGCCTTAACTATTTACACTTCATGCTGCTGCAGCTCTTTTAAAATCTTACTTGATTTGATGAGATGATATGAAATGATATAAACTGACAAAGGAGTATTATTATTCAAGGATATTTACAGTTAAGTTACAGTCAGCTGACTTTGAACATCATCTTAGCAGGAGCAGTGTTTAGGGTTGTCGACAGCACATGAGGAAATCTGTGTGTGTCCTTCATAATGACTGATAGAGTGCCTCTAATCCACTGATAATATGTTACACTTTAATTAGGACTCATGGCAAACATAAGTAGTTTCATCTTTTAAAAGTGCACAGACAGAAATGTGCTTTTGACTTAAGTCCCCACGGACCCCAATACATTGGTACTATTGAAAAACACTAATTAAAACGGAGACAGAAAACAATGATGTAAAGTCATTAGGAACAAACTGAATGACAAAGTGATGACAAATTGTAATGATATAATAAAGAACCTGGGAGATGGGATAGAAAGGATACCTCTAAGGGCCGCAGGTACTCCAGTCAATAGGATGAGGGTTTAACTAAGTGCTTAAAACCGTAAAATGCTAATCATGCTTCAGTTGCATAAATATGCTACTGCTACTACTATCCTACTAAACACTATATTTATTTCAAACACATCTCCTGCTGCAAATTTGTAGTGTACAGACTGAATCCGAATCGCATACTTTTTCTTTTTACTTTTAGTAGGTGCTGCAGCTGCCCTTGAAATGTATGTGGAGAAAAAACATATGCCACTTACCAAGTTCTCCAGAGACTGAGATCAGTCTGGAGAGCTCTGCTGCTGTTACTTTGCAACGTATGAAGTTGAACTTAATAGTTATAACTGCACAGATTGTAGATTCTTACATATTTGCAACAGTGAAAATACATCTGCAGATCTCTGTCACTGGTATTTTTATAGTTTGTAATATTTTGTTGTTTGTAATATTTATGATTATGTTGTTCACTTAAGAAATCAATATTCCTATTATTACTATTCGACTGGTCATCAGTTACTTGAATGTGTCATCCATCACTGTGACTTCTGACAACTGTCAATCAGCAGTCATTTGTTTGTGGCTCAGTAGATGTGACATCTCGTCCACTGCACAAAGGATTGCGGGTCAGAGTAGCCAGAAAAGCGTGCCAGGTGTAGTAGGACATCCTGGTATTTTTGGCACACTGTATTTCCAATCCAACCCAATCCAACTTTATTTATAAAGCACTTTAAAATAACCACAGAGGCCCAAAGTGCTGTACAGCAAGATAAATAAATAACATAATCAAAATACAAAATGTATAAATTCTTATGACCTTTTTAGGCATGACAAAAAAATTATGAAGTTCCTTTTTTTAAAAAAACATGCATATTTCAAGGAGTTTTTCCACATAATTCACATTTCACACATGCATTTAAGTTTTCAAGTGAGGAAATATAAACTAAAACAATGATGTAAATATATCATGTGAAACTATAAAAAAATATATATTTTTAATGCTGTTAAACTTGTGTGTTCACATATTTCAACATGTTCCAATACTATTCAATGCCATGCAAAGACGTTGAACTTTGCTCCTGACTCCTCAGCTTCTCCTCTCTCTCTCTCCTTCTCCCTCCTGTACCTCCCTCCCTCATTCACCTCCTTCCTCTTCACCCCTCACCCCCCTTTTATTTACCTGCCAGGGTCTCCTATTATAGACGGATTGGCAAGATATTCTTGAGCTGCACATTTCTTGCATTCCGTTGGCCATCTTGGTTTTGAGAGCTTTGTGTTGCACTGACAACACCTGGCCAGTGGGTGGCAGTGTATAGCATGACGCACTACGGTCCACTAAAGTGACTTAAAAGCAACTACAGCATATTTCCCTGCAAGAAAATGGCTTTTAAACAGCTGTCCATTGCGGTGACCAATATGTATGAAAGGGTTAATACATTTCTATACAGTGTTATTTGACAATATATGCTTTCAGAAAATATTTATTATAGTTCAACTAAGATTATTTTTTATTCACTCGTTTTTTTGGCAGTAAAAAAAATAATAACGTGTTTTTATTAATATATTTTGTTCTTTTTTTTCTTTATTTTTTATTAATTAAAAATGAAGGAAAAAGGTTTTTGGATTTAAAAAAAAAGAAAAGAAAAAAAATGTAGAAATGTTCCTTTTCCTGTCAGCCCGCTGCAGACGGGTGTCGTGTCATGTCCATTAAAGTGGCAGGTGCGCACCGGAAGGGAACTACAGGTGAAGGCTACACTGTAGTGCACGTGTCACGGGCTGTCAGCAGGTTGTTATCACTTGTAAAGAGTACTACACCAGCATCTAACGGACTGACGTCACACATGCAGGTAAGTTTACATGCACCTGTTTAATGAGCTGCAGCTGAGCAGCTAATTAGCAACTAGCTCGCAAACTGACTGTAGCAGTGCACTTTCTCCA